GCAATTGTGGAAATCAACGAGTACACCAACATACAGAAACTATAAATGATTTGAATGTACAGATATGTATAGAGATATAGATATAAAAGACATTATGTAATCTACCATTGTATTATAATTGGATCGGTCCAAGATCGAGTTCAATGAATTGGATTTTTTCTATCGATGTAATATAGGTAAAGGAGTTAGGAGTTCATCTGGGGCTGAGATGCAGAACCCTTAAAACTTAAAACATCAAAATGTGGAATCCAGCATGAGTCATGAACTCAAAATCTACTTCAAATCCGATGTGTCTAAAGACACAGCCCACTGAGTTTCTCGCCGGATCTTCTCAGTGGGTCGCGTTTTCGATCCGGTGGTAGATTCTGCGAAGCACTGCTCTTGCTAGGGCCAGTGTTAGCACCACTCTGCTTTGAGCCCTGTGAGCTCACCTACACGTTAGGGTGAAGCTGAAATAGCCTTTTAAGGCTATCAGCATAGGTAGGAAAAAAAAACTCACCCACCGAAACTAATTAATGCAATTTTCTTTTAGTAGATTATATTATTCTTTAATTGTGGAAGTCTTTCATGTATGCGTGTTAGGCATTTATTTATTTTAAAAAAACCTGCCTGAGGGATAACTGAAGGTTTTTTTTCAAGACATGTATAATAATTGCATCACTGAGTGCAATTGAGTCATATGCATCACGTCTTAAGGATACTTAGAAAATGTTATAAAAAAATATATTTAAAAAAAAACTTTATTTTCTCAGCTGCGTAAATTCAATACAATCGGTGTACTTAGAACACTCCTATTATTGTTTCTAGATGTCATGTATATTGTATACTTATACTTATATTATATCCACGACATATTTCATAAATGAAAAATAGTCTGACCTCGTGTTATGCACTTAGCACCTGAATACTAAGGACACATCATGACTCGTATAACAGTTTAGCAATATATTTGACAATAATATTCGATTCTGTCAAAAGATTGTATTTCCTTGCGCATTTAAGACCTTTAAATGTGGTAATATATCGATGCTTTAAATAGCCCTTTCCATCGTATGGCTTCGAAATACAAGAAAGTCCTCCTCCTATTTTTAACATTAGTTAGGTGTTGCAACTTTTTTTATATTAATTATCTATCTGGTCATTATCACGTTTAAGCTGATCGATAATCGGAGCTGTGGAACTTGTAAAGCCTTTAATTCAAAGTCTTTCGAAAGAAATATAAAAATGCTAATTCATAAATATCTGAAAAATATATAAATATAAGTGTTGTTTGTAATTTTTTTAATTTAGTAATTGTTCTTTAAAGTGGAAGCCGTTGAAACATCGGAAAATCGCAAATCTTTCATTGGCATTACTTTACCCCGTTCTAAAAAAATCTGTTTTTATATTTTCTCAGAAACTTAATATGTAGATACTTAAAACAGGCTTAAAATTTGAAATAAAATATATGAAGGCGTAATAATAATTTGGCTAACACTTCGATCAACTGGCTAACATAAACATTTTCATCCGAACCGCTCAGATGTTTATGTTACTCATAGTGTCGTCGTAATGCTTTGTTTACACGAAGACTAATAGAAAACGAGAATCGATTAACGAGACATCATATTAAAATGATCACAGCGTACTTTCTTATTCATTAACAACGTTTTACTGAGACTTAATCTTGAGAAGAAAACATGGCAAAGGAGATACGAGTATTACTAGAAATGAAAAAACATGATATTTAGAAAAGTCTTGTAAATTTATAAATAAGAAGAACATTATCAAAAGACTTGCAGGAATAAAGTGTGAAATTGCACACATTAAATAAATCCAACGTTTAATATGTCACGGCAGCGCATAGATACGATTAAGTAAGAAAATGTCAGTAATTTTATAAATGAATTAATTCTTCTTTTTCGAATAGCTCACAATCTTAACGGATTATTTACATTCAATGTGTAAAATAAATATGAAATTTAAACAAATGTTTGGAGGGGACCGTTTTAAAATGGTATCATGTGCATCTTTAATAGACAAGGTGTATCCCACGATTTATCCTGCGTTCAATTTAAATATTTTCTTTTTGGAAGACGTACTTCTTTTGGACATAAAATCAAATATCTGTTTGGAAAACTAATAAAAAACTATCTGTTTGGAAAAATCATCTCAAATCGTTTTTCGCGGTTGCATGAAAGAAGCACAAACAAAAAAACACACATTGAAAATAATATTAAAGTATGTTATTTTGTGCTATTGCGTTATTTGTAATTAGATTGAAGAATATGAAACAAACTCACCATCATATTATTATTGTGGTCCGATGATAAATTAATTTAAAAAAATTATTCCAGTATTTTTTAACTAAACCTTTCAATTGAATGTTTTCGATGAACCTTCGTAATTCAGCGCTAGAGGTCGTGTGATCGGTCGACTAACGCGTTGAGCACTCAACACAGAATACAGGTTTGTATTAAATACATACGTAATAGATCTATTTGTTTATTGTCAGTGGAAGAATGACTTATTTCACTTCCTATATTTTGCAGTTGATGTAGTTTTTAGGATAACGCTTTGTTTGTTTTTTTAATTAGACGAATCTATACATGTAAATGTATCTATGACAAAGCAATCATGGACGTCATGTTAGGTGCAATTAGATACAGTTTATACGATGGCTGATAACCATGGGTAGTCTAACTCGAGGTCACGCTTTTTTGTTAAAATGGATTAAAGTTGAAACATAAATCTAATGTTAAGTGGTTACCGAGGGCTGTAAAAATCACAACGTGTTTGCTGCCACCCACAATGAGGTCCAAGCAGCAATTCTATTGAATGATTATTACGGATCCTCCCGATCCATCACCGGTGCTTTTAGGTACCTCTAGCACCTGTCACCGTCCTCGCCGAACCCGTCGCTTGCGACGAAGGGCTCGGCGAGTAAATTAAACCATAGACACAGCCCACTAAGTTTCTCGCCGTATTTTCTCAGTGGGTGGCGTTTCCGATTCGGTGGTAGATTCTCCGAAGCACTGCTCTTGCTGGGGCCAGTGTTAGCAACACCTCCGGTTTGAGCCCCAAGAGCTCAACTACACGCTAGGATAATGCTGATATAGCCTCTCTAGGCTAATAGAAAAGGTTGGAAAAAAAAGTTGAATGACGGCTGCTACGCTCTTCAAGCTGAAATGTGTGAGTCCGGCCTCACTCTACCTTTTTATTTACCCTACCTAATCTACCTCATAGCCTAAGGGGCTATTCCAGCTGAACTGGTTGGTAGATGAGCTCATGGGGTTCAATCTGAGAAGGTTACTAACATTGACCCTAGCAAGAGGGCATTGTCTCGCGGAATGTACCACCGGACCGGAATCGCGACTGAGATCCAGGAAAAACTCTAGTGGGTTGTGTCTATAGGCTAGTTCGCACGTCCTCTCTACCCTCTCTACCTCAACACGAGTTAAGAAATTATAAGCTTAATAGTAATATTCTTCAGTTATTAGAATATGTCCAAGATTTATTTCATATGAATATTGATACAATACCATAATATAGAGCTGAGATAGAGTCCAACATAGAGTTCATTAATTATCGATCTTGTTATGAGGAACGAATTATATAAAAAATATTTTTTAATTTCATTATCAGTGTTTAAAGGAAATAAAAAAAAACAGTAATTGTGTTTAAGTTAATCTGTAAGCAAAGAGAATAGAGCTAATAAAATACTTTTCTTCTCATTTTAATTATAAAAACTGAAAAAATTTAAATGTTTATTATTATATAGGTTTCTATTTTCATTATTCACAAAATACTAAAAGAATAATGCACTTTTTGAATATGGCTATAATTTTAATTTTTGTTTGTAGAGTTTGTGGTTGTAGAGTAAAAATAGCGCCCTCTACCGATAATCGAGTCTAATTTTTTGTAACTACGCCACCACTAAGCACAGCTAATATTTGCTTGGTTTCATAAGTTTTCCTTTAGAGGGCAGCAGTCTCGCCGTATAAAAAAGCATTTTATTATCATTTAATTATGTTTATTTAATTCTAAATACAGGATTTCATATAAACTAGATAAATAAATATTTAAGATTTTTTTAAATACCAAAAAAAATACTATATGCTAGATTTGAACCTTGGTATTTTTCAATCATATGAAGCAAATTTTCATAGTACACCTCGACTGGGAGCGTGGCGTCTCCTGTAATTCGGCTACTCGGAGGTCGGGTACGGAGGATGGTTTGAGGTCGGGACTCACTGGCGCTGAGTGGCCCATGTTGACTGGACGTCCGCACTAAGCCTGGTGTTAATATGGACTCCCCGGAGGAGTCTGGGAAGTGCAGGTTAACTAAGGAGGGGCGAACCGGGCCAGGGGGGAAACCCAGCAGCCAAAAGTCCCCGCATCGGGCAGTAGTGGGATAGCGGCCGGGAGTGGGCGCTCAGTGACAGCCCGACCAATATAATCAGACCCGTTCCTTTTGCCATTTTTTTCTTATGTGTATAATTTTCATTTATTTGCTTATTTGAATATATTGCTAATACATATATATATTTATATTTTGGGCCAAAACGGGCAGACGGGCTCTTAAACTACCTGGACTAAAAGATCTTCCGAAGCTTAAAGAAATTAAAGTGCATGGGACTTCATGACTTGACTGGCTTAAAACCTATTAAAGTCTATTTTTATTCTTCAAAGTACGTACCAAGGGATAACGTATAAAGTTGTTGAAAACAGAATTCAGATTTATTTATATTATAAATATTATCTCTCCTTTAATTTTGTTTAATAAATCAGAAACTGATAATGCGACTATATTTGCGATAAAATATAATATCTTCATCCACATCTCATTAAATTCCATGAATAGCAAATGTGCCTTTATTCTGTTTGGAATGTAACGAATATAAACGTCACAAAATTATTTTTCAATAATCTATTTATTACAAAATCAACTGTAATGACTTAGGTGTAAAGGAAACGAAGTCTTAAGATTTTAGCTACCTTTATTTGGTAATTAACCGTTTTAACGCTTCACAAGTGCTCGAAAATTTTTTGAAGTATTTTTAATCGTTACAGATTTTAGGTGACGCTAGAATAATACTAATTAATATCCGATATATGTAATAGTAAATCTGCTAATAGCATATTCCAAGACAATATTTTATTCAGACGCTCAGTAAATTACATCAAAAAATACACAGGCACTTATTAATTTTTATTGAGTTATATTGTGGTGGTTTCAACAGCCTTAGGTTCCACTGCTTCTGCCTTGTCTTCCGCTTTAGGTTCTTCCATATTTTCCCCTTTCTTGTCGTTCTCTGTCAATATCATTTCTGGTACAGGTACGGGTTTGGGTTCAATAGAAATTTCTGGCACAGCCGACCGTTCTTGCACGACTTCATCGATTATTTGCTTCTGTAAATATAACTCTTCAGTTGAATGAAAAATATATCAAAAATATATACAAATTTTGAATAAATCAGGTTTTCGTTTTATCATAAAAAATAGGTATATTTTAATAGTGAGTGAAATCGTGTAGATTAATGTTTCATACCTAACATGTTCTGTTGCGATGGAAAATGGCATTTGCAGCTTGTAATATTCGCTAAGAAGTAATGTTACTCGCATGAAATGGAATTCTGAAGATTATGGCGAAAATATCACAAATGTTGATTTAAAATAAATCGCAAGTTTGTCCCTATCGCTACTCTATCTATTTGTATGTATGTATGTATGTATGTAATATATTTATTCATAAAAAGTTACACTTTCATTTAAGCCATGCCCCGCAAAACTGCCTACGCAGTTTGCAGGTAACTCGCTTTATATAAACAATAGCTTATAAATTATTAAATTAGGTTATATTAATACAATTAATTTACGTAAATGGTTACAACGCATTTAACAAGTGTTTTTTTAATAATCTTTTAAATTAAGCAAGTATAGGCTCACGTCTTATGTCCTCGGGTAAACTATTGAGTAAGTATGGAACTTGTTGTTAATTTTTTTTGTGGAAAGAAGATTGTATACCTTAACAGAATCCGAATCCTCGACGGGCTCTTTCTCTTTAACTTTAATATCTACGTTCTTAATAACATCAGCAGACTTCGCTTCTATCGGGATGGCCACCGGGTCGGGTAGGATCGTGCAGTCAGCCTGGTTGGTTTTCACGAAGAATGTCCTAGAAATCTTGAATCGATCTAGCACTGCGTAGGCGTTCTGCATCGCCATCAAGGATGGGAGACGCTCGCGGGTCAGAAGCCAGGTGTTCTCTAATAGAAAGATAAGGGTACAGAAAATTTAAAAATTATAATATAATGTTTATTGAACATTACTTCTTCATTATGTTTTGGTATCACAATAGTACGGGTAGGTATTCTAGCTTTATGTCTTTTTTTTAATTACCCTTGTTACTTTACTTTTAGTTTAAAAATAAATGTTCTATACAAAAAAATCTTCAGCTTGTAGAATCAACAAAATTGCAAGAACGAAAAGATCCAAAATGAAAAAGCGTTTGCTATATTGTGACAAAACTTTACCGCGAATCTCAAGTTTTTTCGAACCAAATCTATTCACATACCGCATTAGTTAGCACTACGTATTTTATATATTATTCGTATCTTTTAATACGAGCTTTATCTATTAGGCCTCGGCGACTGTAAAATATATTTAGTTGGAATAATTTCATCCATAACTTACGAGTGTGAACTGGCCCTATGCCGCTGCATGACCACATCACCGCATAGTTGTCGTAGTCCGTGTCCAGGATTGAGAACTCGGACTCGTATGGAAGTGGCAATGATGAGTACTTAATCATGAAGCGTCCCTCGCCTTCCCGCCCTATCATCTGAAGGCTACCTTCCATAAGGCGTTTCATTCCCGTTCTGTGAAAATATTATGCAAAATTTAAAGAAAACCGACTTTGTAAAAATAAAATGTGAATATCGTAAATGTAGACGAGTTAATGAAATATGCACTAATATGCATTATTAGCTTGAAGGCTACTACTGGTCGGATCTTAATAAAGTTTAATTAATATCTTAAGTCACTTAATAATATCTAATATCTTATAAATATCTTAATAAAGTTTTATTAAGATAACATGACTGTTACTGGTTACTAGATGTCTTGTGAGTCCGCCCGGGTAGGTACCAACGCACTGCCTATTTTTGCCGTAAAGCAGTAATGCGTTTCGGTTTGAAGGGCGGGGCAGCCATTATAGCTATACTGAGAGCTTAGAACTTATTACTAAAGGTGGGTGGCGTATTTACGTTGTAGATGTCTATGGGCTCCAATAACCACTTAACACCAGGTGGGCTGTGAGCTCATTCGCCCAATTTCACAATAAAAAAAAAATAGACTATTTAAGTTTATTTACGAATATCAAAAATGAATTGCAACGCTCATGTCATACTCACAAAGAATTGACGATTTCATTGGATACAATGATTCTTCCTTCAGGAGTGCTCACATAATTGGTTGTCACGCATCTAGAACCAAGTTCGCTGACAGTGAAGAACCGCTCGGCTTCATACCAAGTACCCAAGAACCGGTTCATGTTGAAATTCGCCATCGACTGAACCGAAAACACGGAATATATTTCGTTAGTTAATTTTAGGTGTAATTAATGTAGATTTTATGTGACAGCAGAACTTTAAACAGATAATCTCGGATTAAGTAACATATTTATTGAGTTACAGAAACCGATAAATCAATTCGGAAATCTTTATTAAGTAACAATATATTTTTATGTTGGTATTGTGGGTGAAGATTATGAAATGAACATTTCCAAATATTATGATGGCGTTATTGATTAAGGCCACAAAAAGTTTGTTCGTGTCCTGACTGATCCGGTCAGTACCCTTGATTGCTGAGCCGTAGGTCGTGGGTTTGATTCCGACATCGGGAAAACATTCGTGTGATGAACAGGTTTGTTTGCTCTTTGTCTGAGTTTTTTTTTCCTTAGGTGGGTGGACGAGCTCACAGCCCACCTGGTGTTAAGTGGTTACTGGAGCCCATAGACATTTACAACGTAAATACGCCACCCACCTTGAGTAATAAGTTCTAAGGTCTCAGTATAGTTACAACGGCTGTCCTGCCCTTCAAACCGAAGCGCATTACTGCTTCACGGAAGAAATAGGCAGGGTGGTGGTGGTACCTACCCGTGCGGACTCACAAGAGGTCCTACCACCAGTAAACGTGTGAGTGTTTCATATCCATATATATTTTTATTTAAACGTTCTTTATTATGTTAATAAGCCTGTGTTTCCCATAGTACATGTTATCTTAGTTCAGAGCCAGAAAACCGTGTGTTTCTTCTCCTTGGTTACTATTATTAATACTTTAGCATTTTACGGTTACTAAAACAGTAAATCATTTTTTTAAATACGACCTTATTCATTACAGCATATTGTTCAATACAGCATATAGAAAGTGTTAGGCGGATTCAGCCACAGTATATATATGTATTAGGTAAGCAATACATAATACACAAGAGTCGTTCCCCGACTGTGCAATCTATACAGAGTTGACCCTGGTCAGTCCTCGCGTTGTATAAACAATGCTTATAGATTGTTGTGTAAGTTTGCTCTATGTAAGTTTATACTCATCGTAAACAAGCCAATTAGTTATGTATTGGAAACAAATTCTGACTCGGAAGTCTTTAAATTCGATAATTTATTTGTTTTTAAATACGGTCATGGAGTACGTAAGATAATTCTACTGCATTTTTAGTGAATCAAATTAATTCAGGTTACTAAATAGTAGAAAAGAACATTCTTCTGTTGATGCAACGCTGCGACGAAACTATAAAATATGCATTTAATATGTATTTTTAGCATAGTTTAGTTCACTTTCATATGCAAAACCTTTTTTGATGCAAGCTAGACTTAAACAATAATTTAAAAGTAAATAGTCTCGCAACTCCCGCCATCGGAGCAGAGTTCATAAATGTTATCTGGAACCGCTGCGTTCATCGACAGTGCGTTTCCAGAGGTATTTTTTGTAACGTACCATCCGGCTATGGAATGAGCTCCCCTCCAGGGTGTTTCCCGAGCGCTATGACATGTCCTTCTTCAAACGAGGCTTGTGGAGAGTATTAAGCGGTAGGCAGCGGCTTGGCTCTGCCCCTGGCATTGCTGATGTCCATGGGCGACGCTAACCACTCACCATCAGGTGGGCCGTATGTTCGTCTGCCTACAAGGGCAATAAAAAAAAACAAAAGGAAAACAAATAAATTTCTTACCTGAAAATCGGGGCACCATCCTAATGAAGGTATTTGAGCTGAGGCAGTCGCCGCGAGAACCAGTACAGTCAAACGCCACATTGTGTCCAAATATTCTCGCTGCCGAATCGGGAATGAAGCCTGGACTCCCAACCCCGACTTTATAAACCTTCCCGCCTGAAACCGGTCGGCATTCGAGCCTAATGAAACTTATCTAGCGTGGCCAGTGCCTCCTAATATGGCGAACTGGTCCCATGGGATAATGCTGTGTAAATGTCGTGGAATTATTTTTAGCAATGGTTTAAGTGGGTTATTATTACCAAGGACTTGTAGGGCTGTGTTTTCACAAAATTTCCGGGCAAATTGTACAAAATATGACGGTAAGGCGAGTACAAATATTCAATAGGTACAATACGTGAACTACTGTGGAATTAATCAGATTCGACTTATTATGTAGGTATAACAATTTTGCCAGGCGCCTCCATGAGCGTATATGGAACAAATGATTTGTAAGCCTTGAATGTAATCATACAAAACACTCGTCGAAACATTATAGTGCAGTTCAGAATGCTTGTTCCTGTTTTTTTTTTTTAATTATTTTCAAGTTTTTTGCGATTAATTAAGAAGTCACATTCGATTATTTTATTATTACTTCAGGTCTTAAACTACGAAATACAAAACACACTAAATGTTACTTCGTTCGGGCCAAAACAAACTATAGCTAAAGAACAGTCATATACTAAATTTACATATACTAAAAGACAACGAAAAGCCAAATATGTATGTCGTCTTTGTGATACGATTTGGGTTAAGTTTGACATAATATATAAAATGTTTCAATTATTATCACTTTAGTTGGTCAATTTAAATATAAATTGATTTTATTTCACAAAATAGTCATCATTTTTATGAACGTTATAAAAATCTCCAAAATTGGATTTTATATTTAAAAAAATCGGTGTCCGATTCATAGTTTGGTATTTGTAAGTTTAGCTTATCAGGAAAAGTAATATATGTAGTTTGAATGAAAAGTGTTATTCTATATAGTCTGATCTTTGTGCTGAATAATTAAACCAAAGCTTTTGGGTAAATGCTTTTTATTATTCGTTCAGCCCGTTTCCTATCTTGACGGGCAGCCCTGACTGTATGTTTTAGGTTGGCAGTCAATGGAACCCATAATGAATTTGCAGTCCTCTTTAGAAAAAGCTTCTTAAGATATTACCAGTCTTTATTACCTTTCGTTTATATTTCTCTTGGTGTATTCGTTTTCAGATGGCTTTGTGGACTTATATGGTTTTGATAAAGACACTTTTAGAATAACTTTTACAATTACCGACATATTATTATGAGACTCGTCACTGTAGGACGTGGGACGTAGTTGTACAGTTATAAGTGCGTTTCTTGTGGTAGGTCTTATTTCTGCTAAGAATACATGTTCCGGTTTGACGTGTATGACAGCCGCTATATTTCATAGTATATTTTTAACGTTTTTGCGCTAACATAAAAATACTAAATTTTGTTTACGACTATAGAGAAAGACTGTGAACGTACATACTCGTATACATTTCACGAAAATAAGTACAAGTGCCACTGAAGTTTAACGAAAATCTAGTGTGTGGCAAATTTTATTTCAGAAACCAGTTTTCGCCATTCGAACATTACTTACTGTACGATCGTAGGTTAGCTAAAAATAAATATTTACGGCCATTCATAGCTCTGCCTGCCCTGTCCTGTGCAATTACTATGAACATTATTAGCATTGAGAAGAAACTCGGGAATGTTCTGAGAACTAATACTTGCGTGCAGAAAAATCGCATCTGCCATCTTACCGGTTTACATTTCACTGTTTTTTTTGTTACATTTCTGTCTATTTTTACCTGGCGAGCGTACGAGATACTCGCTGTTCGTAGCTAGCTAGATCTAGTTTTTGTGACTTGCTTCTTTTCTGAGTATGGACAGGAATTTGTAATGCGTTTTATATGGATAATTCAGATGTTGGGAATAATTTTAGAAAATTAGTAACGAAAGTTATGTTCTGTCGTTATATAATAAAGAGTTTGTGCTAAATTTACAAGATTTACAGTCGCCGGTGCTTGTATGTAGTATGGTATGGTTTAATGCATTTTCATGCGACGCATTTACTATATTATTATTTATTATTATTCTCTTCTGTTTGTTTGGCTTGGGCGAACACGGTTATAGCTTGAGCTAAATGTCCATGAGCCTTTATACATACATCATAATGATAACGTCGCCAGTCATCTTGAGATATGGCGAAGACAGTTTGAAACATAGTGAACTTGAAGTCTTCAATTTCAAACGACTACGCGTGATTGCTACTCCGCAAAAATTTCCAAGATTGTGGTACTTACCAATGACACACAAGATATGGTACCGTCCCAGTGGCCAGTAACTACGTAAAATTTTTTTTTGTGAAAATAAGATTTTTATGGCACGCTGTTATTCCTTCAGTGTTGAAGTCATTCGTGAACATTTATCAAGTAAGTGTTTTATTAGAAAAAAATGCGTGTACTTTTTTATGTTGCACGTCTGTTTTAAACAAAACTGGATCTTGTTTTACTGTTTTTTTTCTTCTATGTAGGTACGTAGTTTCGATAGTATTTTAAATTTATTTGCAAATAAAAGGTATGTACTTACAATTTAGTAAAAAGATCTGTCCTAGTAGTTTCCAGTACTGAATCCGACTGTATGAAATATGATAGACCGTAGATGTTATAAATAAGGCTTCCTTAAAACACAATGGCTGATTTAACCAAAACTAATCTAGTTAGCCAATACTGTTTTCCGTCTTCAGGTCAAGGTTTTATTTAGGCTTCCAGATATGTATATAAATCATTTAAGATATGAGGTATCCTTTTTCTTTGGAAAATGTCTTTAAAAATTTTAACACTTTCAATCTGGTTTTTATATAATGGATTCATTATTATTATTATATTCATTTAACTTAATCTATATCAATATCACGTCCGATTACTACTTTTTACTGGTGGTAGGACCTCTTGTGAGTCCGCACGGGTAGGTACCACCACCCTGCCTATGTCTGCCGTGAAGCAGTAATGCGTTTCGGTTTGAAGGGTGGGGCAGCCGTTGTAACTATACTGAGACCTTAGAACTTATATTTCAAGGTGGATGGCATATTTACGTTGTAGATGGGCTCCAGTAACCACTTAACACCAGGTGGGCTGTGAGCTCGTCCAGCCATTGGAGCAATAAAAAAATAAAATAAAGTTGGGGGCCATTATTAAAGTTTATACTTACACATCACTACGTGAATAGCATCGCACACTGAAATAGAGTAATGGCAATACATAATTCTTGTGGGGTCATAGATTTTGTTGGTTTTTTTTAAATAATAGGATTCCTTTACACGTGAACACCTAAATTGAGATTGGTTCAAGTCTGCCCCCTGACGATATACAATGTTTACGATATCTGTCAAGAGTGCAGTGTGCTTAGTGCGAGTTTTTTAACATTCTCGATAGCGTAAAAGTTAACTTTAATTTGTTTGAAGTTGGAACGTATGCCGCCAGGGCCACTGTTACAAATGCATACAAATTTGAGATAACTTATACGCTATCGAGAACGTTAAAACTCTCGCACTAAGTACACAGCTACTAAGAAAATAAGTACAAATTCTTCTATTGCAAGAACAATTTCTTCATTACTATGTAAAATGACAGCCAAAAAAATCATTTTCGCATTTAGTATATTGTAATTTGACATAAATAGCATAATATTTTATTCTAAATTGAGTACCTATTGTTTAAATTCACTTCACTTATATGACAAAATATTTCATCGAATAAAACAGGTGCGAATTTTGAATACAGCTCCATCTAGTAGTACATAACGGAAAGGCCTCTCAAGACCTTCGCTTAGGTAGGGGAAAAAACCAGAAAAATTACTAGAAAGCTGTTAAATAAAGCTTAGAAAGTGAAAAAAACTAGAAAAATTATTAGAAAACTGTTAGTCTGTACATTAATGTCACTGAGAATATGGTGCTAAAACCGGATTTGTTATTTTACTATTATTTTGATCCGCTGGGCGTGCTGACCTACTGAATCTATTTGTTATAACTATGTAGCCACTGACACTTAGTACTGGCTAACTCTCTAGAAGTGGGACAAGCTCTATAAAACTGTCATTAACTAGTTTTTGAACAGTGGTGTTTTGGTTGTTTTGGAACGGCGAGAATTTGATTATTTTGCAAAATGTAAAATTTAAATAAAAAACATTATTGTGTGTAACTAAAATATCCTCGTTATTTAATTTATTACGGTAAGAACACATTTTTACAGAATGTTAATAAACTAGACAATATCTACAAAAAAATTATATAATTATAATTGTACATTGTACACTATGTGAAAAACTTACAAAATACTTTTTTGTTTCATTATTAAATTTACAATTAAAACAGTGAAAAATTTTCAAGTTCAACAATTTTATTAAGTTAAGCTTCTCGTTACTTCTATATCTAGCTATTTACAAAATTACTTAATTAAGATAGTCATGTTTTAGACTTAATATTTCGATTAGTTATGTTTGTGTTTCTCTGACGAATTCATTTTGATTGCTGATGAAAATAGAAGAGTCGACGGTACCCTGAAGTTAATTGACTGAATTCACTGAACGGTATTTCCAGGTGCACAATCTAGTGGCTGATGCTAAGAGCCTCGCAAATCTAGTTTGAAGAAGCGGTGTTAAGTGGAACTCGAAAATAAATAATAGTTTAAAATAATTAAAAAAATACGCTTTTATAGAAAATCCAACTAAAAAATAGAAAATAAATTTGAACTAATAATAATGTAAGAAAAAATGATTTTATTGTAAAAAAGCGTGGGGTGCTTTTCAGGATATTATCAAAATAACCCTTCTACTCATATCTGTTCATAAAATATTTATAACTCAGTACCTAGTTATAAATATTTTATGGACCATGCATGACACCATGCACCGCACGCTTTTTTTTACAATAAAATCATTTTTCCTTACACAATTTTTAATTCAAATTTATTTTCTATTTTTTAGTTGGATTTTCTACAAAAACGTATTTTGTTAGTTTTTTAAACTATTATTTATTTTTAATTTTTAATTTGAATTTAATTTTTTTTTAATTTTAATCCGACGTTTTGATACGGGTCAAAATCATGTTCAAAGATTCCGTTACATACTAACTTACGTCTGAAGCTAATAAAAGCGTATTAAAAATATATTATTGAGATTAATAAATCCAATGATTTTATTTTTAAAACAAGTCTAAGCTCTGTTCCGATAACTGATGGTATTATGACGAAAGAAAGATTAAACAATTCTTTATATCATTTTTCCATTAGACTCCATTATCCGAAGTTAGGAAAATATTAATGATTCATTGAATTAATAAAGTCATTGTATTTCACTTCGGCTGAGTATTAATTAATTGGCAATGACGCAATAGGCAGAATATGGTAGACTCAATTAGACAGATACAGACTTGAATGACGTGAAAAACTTCGATTGTGTACTCAAAATTAAAGTTCGGTGGTTTTTTTGTTCTAGATAATTCACGACATTTAATTCAAGAGCTATAAATTTGCGAAACTGTTTCGTTCTTAATAAAAAGTATTACAAATACTTTATGATGATGAATAACTGATGTAAAAAGTCGATAGCTATTCTAGTAATATTTGACACCATTTAGTTTCATATATATACGTGACTTACATCATTCTGGTAACTAATTTTCAAGAATCTAAAAAACAAAACCTGTTACAATTTCATGAAACGAATGAATAAATTTTTATATACAGAAAACGTCAAAGAAACACAGCATAGGCTTAGGTTTTGAGTTATTTGCATTGATATATAAATTGAATGTAATTACGTTATATTTCGAGCGACACCGATTTATCACAACGAACTTACAACTAAAGATGAAACGGCACGTTTGTTACGTATCTTTGTTAGAATTGAGTCAATTCTGAAGACGCATGCTTGATTTAGTCGAATAATTGATTCGTTTCTATTTTCGATATACACAAATACATATGTTGAAATACCAAGAATATCTGAAATTCATTCTTATACGAAGTCAGGAGTTAGAACAGTTTTAAAAAGGTTGGGTGAGTTAAAAAAAACCGGATAAGTAGACACAATGTTTTATGACGTCATTGAAGCCCAAGCGTGCGACAGAGATAGTAAGATGTTGTTTGGTCACAAATGAATTTGAATTTATGATGCAAATGCAACCAAAACTGAGAATGAGAGACTAAACATTGATGGTCTTTAAAAGAACTTTCACCAAATTGTTAAACCAAACCACCAAGTTGTCATTAATATATTTCGCAAATAAATATTATTTCAACATCAAAGCTTGTCACTTCAGAATTTATAACGGCATGCCTGTAAAATTATTGCAAGGTCGATTGTCATGTAAGTTCAGCTTACAAACTAATAATATATTTACAATATTTAAAAGGAAGTCAAGATTTGGAAAGCGCGACGGAAGACCTTGTTCTCGACACGCTCGCCCACAGATATAAACAGATACTATCACATAGGAGTTCTATTCGCGAAATCACAATTCCTATAATTAAATTGTTCCCCAATCACGCCAATAGCGACGTTACAAATTAAAAAAAAAAAAAAAAAAAAAAAAAAAAAAAAAAAAAAAAAAAAAAAAAAAAAAAAAAAAAAAAAAAAAANTATGTTACGTAATAATGCGTGATTACGAAACTGAGTATTACAAGAATATCTAGATTTGTTCACCAATTCATAAGAAAGGGGATATAATAATTTACTGGATTTGAAAAGAAACGATGCATCTTAATGTTTTGGCATCAAATTAGAAGTAATATTCATAAAATAAGCCTTAAGAAATAATTACAAAAGAAATCATCCAGCGATCACTACGGTAATAGTACAAAATAACTGGCCACAGTAATGAGTTCGATAAAAAAAAAAAACATTACATATCTTCGAAAAGATACAACACGAAAAGTAAGTCTAAATAGTATTAAAGGTTGGCGTATTAAAAGTCATAATTACGCCGTAAGTTTCTTAAAAAAACACTAAAAGTAGTAAATTAATCAAAAAATAAGAAGATATCGAAGCGCAAAATAGTTGAATGTGGAATCGAAATTGCTACGCACGTTAATAATTAAAAACTATGGAAATGAGATTATTTAAAAAAAATCGGTACACATTTAGTTAAACAAATCAAAATCATTTCAGGTCCCTTTAATTTCTCTTAATTGTACACCAAACATCCTCAAGGCTTTACAAATCTTTGGTGCTCATTCACATCGCAATTAATCGGCACAAACCCATGAAGGAGTTCTATAAGTTAATCTATTACGAACACATTTTTCTCTCTACTTTAGAAATTACATATATATTCATAGAACCTACGATTGAGATTGTGTAATGTCTTTAAAAAGCTGCGAAACACGGAGTCAGTTTTTATTGGAACTGGATCATTAAATTTTGTAAAAAAAATCATATTATCTTGTGAAATCATGCAGAATGTACAATGTGAATATAACTGTATGCCATAGGATCTTGCTATAAATTCAAAGTTCCAATTCTGACTAGAGTTATCGACTATATTCTTTTAGAAAAGTCAAAAGTATAGTCAATAATTGAACCGATGACATCACTGCTTTCATCATGATTATGATTTAACTTAGGAGGTAGTTCATGTGACGTCATTGCACTAGGCACGCAAACTTCGCAACTTTCCTCTGACAAATTTGTTTATTTTCTATGCTTAAAGAATTAATGTGTCGGTGGCTTTTACAATAATATTTATCCTAATGCAAATACGTGTCTCAAAATAAATACTATCTTGGAAGGTGTTGGTCCCGAAATTATAATTTTTAAACAAATTATAACAATTTGGACCCATTCGGCAAACAAAATGAGTTTTACATACATAAACATCAACAATTCATCCGCGGTAATTTCTTACGAATGTTTCAAAACGCGAATCGCTCTGCGATATCACGCCTTACTTAAACTAAGAACTTAAACGTTAACCTTTCTTAACCACATATCACAATTGAACTCTCGAATGCTCGAGAATAATATTTTCAAAGTCCAAAATTACGCACAAACAGGCGTCAGGTAGCTAGCCGTCATTCGTGCAAATTTTTGCTGAGAAGCAAACTATTATGTGGTCCCGACAAATGTCTGATGAGCTCCGGTAATGCTTCAAAGGTAAGTTGACAGAAACAACAGTTAAACCGTCCGGGCGTGTTAGTTCTCCCGTCGTTTTCACTTGACGATATCACGTTACGATGTACCGAACACAAATGTTTCAGTAAATGTGCCTTTTGTTTGAACATAGCAACGCAGAGACGACAAGCGAACGGTTTCTCTCCGGTGTGTACACGTAGATGGGTTTTGAGATTCCAAGACATGCCGAATTGTTTCCCGCAATATTCACAACGATATTCTCTTACTGGTGCCTGTTTACTTGATCCTTGGTCGTGCTCCGTCGCTGGTGCTTCATCGCCTCCCATTTGTGGTTGACAGAGCCATGGTCCCCACGATCCGGCGCTGGGCGGTCTATACTTTAACGCTTCTTCATGTGTGGCTGTTGGGGGTGTTAGGCTTCGATCTGGTAAATATGGAGGTGCTGATGCGCTTAGTGAATGTAATGCTCCTAGACGACTAGCCGCTACAGCCGCAGCCGTAGCCGGTACTTGAGTATACCGTAGGTGAGCCATTTCTTCTAAGTAGCTTGGTGGAAATGAAACAAACGGGGGATTTTGCGAAGGTGAATTATGGAAGCCGGGTCTTCTTTTCCGATGTGGTGTGACTACATAATTTTCTGGAGACGTCTGTACCAATGACATAAGATCTTGATCGGGCGGTTTAAGGTGTGCGTAATCTTCTAATTTAACAGTACGTAAATCCAATTCGGGTGGTTCCAAATAATGTGATTTTCTTTTTGCTCTCTCAATCCCCCGACCTATCCGATCATTGAGCAACTGCCGCCTGTAAACCGTTTCTTGTGGTTGATCGTCTTGACTTGATGAAGTTGATCTCCGGCGAGATATATTCTGAAAACGAAAGAATAGTTTTAGTGATCGAACGCTAAAGTTAAGGCAGAATTTATTAGCCAGAGTTTACTAAAACATTTACCTTTGCTGCTACTGTTTCTACATCTACGTCTTGTGAGTCGTCATGTTCACTGCCTGTGTTTACTGAATTTCGTGCGAGAGATAGATTGACAGGATTAGAGGAGCTCCGCCGCCGTGCCGTCAATCTGCCACATTCTTTGTTTTCTCCGTCTTCATCTTCCCTTTCATCATTACTGCTAGTTGACATACTTTCTTTTTTTATACTTAGCGATTCTGCGTCTCCTTTGTCTTTGTCTTTACTGTAACCTGCGCTCGGTGTGACCCGTTCACTTTCTGAATGTGAGGATCCAGACGGCGCATCGTGTTTACTGCTTTCATTGCTGTTTATATCTGTTTTGAGGTTTTTTGCTTTTCTTTCACACGACCTATTCCTTTCTTCGGCTTGCTGACGTTCTTTCGTTGATTTCCACACGTCCGATTTAATTTCTAATAATTCGAACAGCTCTTGCATATCATCTATTTCGCCGGACTGAAATGAATATTCACAAGTTAATATCACAGTTCAAAAATAATATTCAACAATTACGAAACATAATTCGTATCTTTTTATTCATGTTTGAATAATGATGTACAGCAAATTACATTCTCAGCATTATTAAAACTTGTTTAAAATTTTATACCTCTAATTAGATTTCTTATTACATAAACAGAGTATTTTTTATATACCTCGATGTAAGCTTGGCCGCTGTAGAGAAAAACAAGTAGGTGCCTCATGAGAGTGCTGTTGATGCCCGACATGTGAATCGTGACCGGATTCTCGACTGATGGTGTATCGTCGAGGATTTTCCTGTAACAAATTTACACGTTAGTTACTTCGATACATACAATGTAATTAATGTTTTTGAAGTGAAACTTCTAATGCGACTTCTAACAAGGTTGCGTTAAACGTTTAACGCTACCATGGAGGGAATGTGAAAGAGACAGAGCGAGAGTGAATGCGTGGCACTCGAACTCATGCGCGTATTGTACCTGTTACAGGCCAGCGCGAGCGTTAGCAACGAGTAGCGTCCAATACAATAATGAAGTATTTAAAAAAAAAAAAAAATCTGTCTATAATTTAAAATATATAGGTATAGTATAAATGTTGCAGATATCGCATCTCTTATACACAGCAATATGATATATTATAAGGATGAAAAATGAAGAAAACCACTATACATATATACATCGAAAAAGAAGTTTCACTTCATTCACGTGCACCGAGCTACACGCGCACTTTTTTAAGTGCTTGTGAATCTAATGTTCGAGAAGTTGATGTTTAAAATGAAATATTAAATTGCCCGAATTACCTGATGAGAGGACTAGCAGCGGCCATGACGATTCTGTGCGCCGCGAGGGGCACGGCGTCGTCGCAGACCAGCACCAGGTCGGAGTACCTGGCGCCGCGCCACGCCGCGCCCACCTCGTTCAGGATGCAGGCGTGGTGCTTGCCGTACGTCAAGGTCAGCAGGCCCTCGCCCATCATTCCAGCACTGAAATAAATGAAAGGAGATGTTACACAACAATTTTTTGAAAGTACGGCAGAATGTATCGTCCCGACAATTTTTTTATTTGCAAATTTTAAAAATTCGCGTCATGTCCAGACGACTTCAAGACTGTCAAGTGGCACGTACGAATTCAATCGGACTTCTTACAATTTTTTATTTTATTGCATTTGTAGGCAGACGAGCATACGGCCCGCCTGATGGTGAGTGGTTACTGTCGCCCGTGGACTTTAGCAATGCCAAGGGTAGAGCCAAGCCACTGCCTATCGTAAAAATCTTCGGTGGCGTCGCGATGGTGACGAGTCGTTAATAAAAAAGAACGATCAATTGTTTAGAACAAGAAAATAATTTTTTTTCTATTTCAAGCAAGAAATGTGTGATGACGTGCTAAACAAACATATTATCCTGCGGAGCAGTTACCTAAATTGCACCAGACCGTGGGAGAAGATCGCTGTGAGTGTGCCACTTGCTTAACTGGCGTGTTTTGTATGTGGTATATTGCAAAAACAATTTTTTTTTTCTCCCTTATGTGCTGATCGTACAATATATATAACAAATATTATAAATACATAGCACGCGTAGGTGCTATCATTCCACTGCAAAGCAGTCCTGCTTTCCCACGTCAATGTTATGATGTTTTTAAGCTTCGGTGACCATTTACAACAGGCCTTGAGGTCGTTCACTTACTGTGCAATAAAGAAGAGAAAAGATGGACATGTGTATTATCTATGAGACTAAATGTCGTAACTGGTGGTAGGACTTCTTGTGAGTCCGCGCAGATGGGTACCACCGCCCTGCCTATTTCTGCCGTGAAGCAGTAATGCGTTTCGGTTTGAAGGATAGGGCAGCCGTTGTAACTATACTTGAGACCTTAGAACTTATATCTCAAGGTGGGTGGCGCATTTGCGTGATGTCTATGGGTTCCAGTAACCACTTAACACCAGGTGGGCTGTGAGCTTGTCCACCCATCTAAGCAATAAAAAAAAACATTTTCATGAGGTCGTTGACCAAGTCTCGTATTATTTACTTATGAAGGTATTTTATTTAATGTTTAAAGATATATTTAAAACATATTTAGTTATTTTTAATATCGGTAGCCATGTGAAGCTTGCCAAATATTTACTACATTTATTACCCAATCGTGTATTAATCACAATATGTGTCTGGTATTATATTAACACACAAATGGTTTTTCGGTTACGAAATTTTTAAATGAAGAATTATCTAAAAATGTGTGTCTTGTGTCGTGTGAATTATAGTTTAAATTTGTTACTGGAAGATAATTATTTATCCATTACAAAATCCAATTATTTCCAACATGATACGTGTTTCTCTCAGAAATGTTATCTAATTGGCAGACGGGTACAATTTGCTCGTAGTTTCGTGTTCAGAAGTGATTTTCGCAACACGTAAACAAGTGAAATCAAATTCAAACTGAGGCTCTTCATCAAGTTTTCGGTTCATTACACTTGTTTTGTGCCCGTTAAAAAAAATCGACGGTGTAAAAGAAGACAAGGTTGGAACCAGCCAACTGTACGATAACGCTTTAACATAACTATTACTAGAATAGATATCCGAGATAACGTTGAAAATGCTACTAAAGCGACACAATACCTATTATTCAATTCTAGTTTCTCAATCAAATCAAAAAGGTTAACAGGCGAGGAGAATATAAATGAACTGAAGTGCACATCAGTTGATGCGTTCTTGGACAGCCAAATGAAGACAGAAGTCCTAATGCAAGTGCTAGAAAGCTTATTGCAACACAGCCTTGGCCCCATAAAGCATCGCAACGTGTTATTAATGTTTTGATGGAAGCGGGATCGTTTAAAAGACGATCAACGACGCTTCTTTGCATTGTTTGGCAAGAGCGAGGTTAAAGGCAATGGAACCGCGCTCATTGTTGTCGACTACTGTGCTATTGTTGCACCGTTTCGCTCAAAAGTCACATTTAATTGTGTAGTTATATAGAAGTGCAACAAGGGACAAGAACGATCTACCTACCGATCGCACGGAATGTTCGCACACACGAAGATCACAATCGCGAACAAAGTCACGATTTTGTAATTGCGGTTTCAATTGTTGTTTTAAATTATTTGGACACACGTGAATTCATAATTTTCGTTATAATCTTAATGCATTTCATGTTGTTGTTGGACATACCTACATGTTTTTGTTGAGTATGAATCTATACGCTTCTGAAGTTTCATGGTCAATCGAAGAGGCGTTCTTATTCATAGACATTGAACACAAAAACTTGTTAGCGTCTACGTAATTAACTTTTACACTTTATGCTAATGAAGTTGTGGATAAAAAATTTGAAGACTTACTTAACGAAGACCGTATATTTCCTTGAGTTTTGAGTGAACGAGAATCGTGAATCTATTAATAGTAATCGCACGGAGATTTAAAGCAATAGAAACTACTGAAATTGAAATAAAATTGTTTTTTTGTTTTTGTGATTACGAAGATAACGCGGAGAAGAACGTGACGTTGAATTTTTCTTGGTCAATGAATGTGGGTTGATTCCGTTTTAATAAGACTAATTGAAGGTCATATAATTAATTACACCGAACGTTAGACGTATATAGAGAACAATAAAAAATAATAGTTTAGCTAACGATAGACAAATATTCGGTCCGGCCCACAGAATTTGTGCCTTAAAATGTGGAACGAATCGAGTGAAGGTTGCGTGCGTTTGTAAAAGTAACAAATTATGGTGTAGAGATGTTTGAATATATTACAGACGATCGAAGGTAACTCGGATACACATGTGATTGGAAATATCGTGTTATTGACACAACTTGTTAAATTGTTTTATGAGTGTATATTATACATGATATGTTGAACAGTATGTTAATTAGATATATGAAAATTTAGTGATTTTTTAAAAATAACTTCGTTTTAAAATTCGAGAGAATTACGAATTATAAGGTTGCTTAATTTGAAGTACTTCTATGAATGTTGATGTATAACTTCTTATAAATCGACAAACATCGGCTACACGTACGAAAAAGTGTCACGTTCCGCCTGAGCGTGAGCGTGCAAGCGAGAGCGCAGAACAAGCGATAGAGAGGCACGATCCACCCAAGCGTTGGCTTGTGACCTAATTATCTCTCTTCTCGCGTCACATTAGAGCTAGCAATTCGAATAGTTCTGCTACTGAAGTTATCACGTAAAACTATGGTTCGTAAACAGACTTTACAGACAACCAATTATTATTTTTTGTTCACTTTGAGAATGATAAGTCTGAACAATCTCTTAGTTTTATTAGCCAGATCGACCTCTGAACGTTAGGACAAGGGTTCGGCTTGTGTCCTTAATCGCGACAGGCATTCAGACAAGCCGTTTCAGGTAAATCTCGTGGTCATCGATGCGCGTCAGACTCGCTTTTGTCCATGTGAAGCGACTCGTAACGTTGCAGTTCCAATGCTCTACGCGAAATCCAAAGCAGGGCATCATTTGCTTTTGCATACACGCTACGAATACGTTTGTGAGTTGTTGCCGACCGCATATTTTTTAAACACTTAGATTAAAAGAACTCACGACCCATCACGCCCAGCAACGTTAAAGTCGTCGTGGCCTAAAGGATAAGACGTCCGGTGCATTCGTGTATAGCGATGAAACAGTGTTCGAATCCCGCAGGCGCCTAGGCGGGTACCAAATATTCTAATGAAATACGTACTTAACAAATGTTCACGATTGACTTCCACGGTGAAAGAATAATATCGTGTAATAAAAATCAAACCCGCAAAATTATAATTTGCGTAAGGACTGGTGGTAGGACTTCTTGTGAGTCCGCACGAGTAGGTACCACTACCCTGCCTATTTTTGTCGTGAAACAGTAATGCGTTTCAGTTTGAAGGGTGGGGCAGCCGTTGTAACTATACTGAGACCTTATAACTTATATCTCAAGGTGGCTGGCGCATTTACGTTGTTGATGTCTATGGGCTCCAGTAATCACTTAACACCAGGTGGGCTGCGAGCTCGTCCACTCATCTAAGGAAAAGAAAAAAATTAAAATGAGACATGAATTCTGAGTCTCAGTTCTGTAGCGTAAACGGCTGTCCCACCCTTCAAACCGGAACGCATTACTGCATCGCGGCAGTAAAAGATGGGGTAAGTAACAAGCAGACTTACAAGTTGCCCAATGACCGGTACCTGTGAGATCACACAACTCGTAGTTACGAGAATGTTTTCGATATTCCGAAAATCTCAATATGATGGCAACGTCAGGTGTGATACTTATTTGTATGTACATAGGTGTGATATTGTACATTGTTGATGACGTGATCGATGAGTGAGTAAGTACCTGAATACCACGTTTGACAAAACAATTAAAAAAAAAGAGTAGATAACTTTTTATAAGTCGTTGTTTTCTGAGCGACTCATTATTGGATTATACCTACCATAGATAATGAATACACTTATTAGGTATATAAGAGATTATACTGTTGGTAATACTGCTAACACCTTCGTGGACTTTTAGTATGTTTTAGATTTTTAAATGTTGGTATACACTCGATGACAAATTATTTTACTACTCGCATTTGTTTAAAAAACTGTTTTTATAAACGACTTAATTCACTGAGCATTAGAGGAAATGGCTAGTGTTTTATTATATAAAAATATGAGTCATGTTTTGTGATAGCTGCGACCGTAAAATTTATGCATATTATCATGTTCATTTTTATTGTTATTGTCTTTTGTTTTAAAAGCCTTTTCTAATTTATTAATTTTATAAATTCAATTTTATGTTATATTTTTTTTAATTCGACATGTATAATGTACCAACAATACAGATTTATAAGTTCAAATCCATACTTAATATTATAAATGTGAAATTCTGTTTGTTTGTGTTTAGCTTTAAAGAAACGCGGGCGAAGCCGCGGGCGGGTAACAACTAGTATGAAAACAAATCTATTCTTGCTTTATTTTTCTTGCCGAAAACTTTTTATTTTATATTAATAGCCGTGTAATTTATAATT